ACATGCCACTGCCTGCTTCCAAGCCAACCACACGCTTGCATCCCTCAGGCTGAAACAGATCCACCATCAGCTTGAAGTCCTGCTCACTGCTTTCCCACGGTGTGCACCAGATACCTTCAGCAGATGCCGGGTCATCGTTCCCCGGCTCGTTGACAGGGTCCTGAGTGGCAACGGCGTGGTTATCCTCGGTCGCGCCCTCGGTGCCGGCATCAGGCTTCAGCAGCTTCTCGTAGGTCTGGAGGGTCACGGTGCTGAACTGCTGACATAGGTGGCTCTTCATTGTCATGTCCTGCCAGCCGCGGCAGTAATTGTCCTGCACCTTCTCAGCCTCGGAGCTGCGTCTTAGCGGAAGTCTTGCCATTGCCGTCTTGGTCGCCACAAGCACTAAATTTTCGAGGGGGTCCGGCAACAATGGATTGAGTGTGCGTCTGCATCTCGCCGAAGCATACCCGCTCTGGAACTCGTCGTTCCTGTAAAATCGGCGAATGATGGTGGTTTTGCGCACTGGCAACGAGGATGCCACTGGCTCTGGCCTCAAAACTTTGCCCAATTCTTTGGACATGTAGTCGAAGGTGCTCGGACTCCTGCCGTCAAGGAGGAGCAGTATGTCGTGCTCATCAAAGACCATGGGCGGCGGCTTCCTTACAACGGTCATCAATTAGGCGACAGGTACTACTGTGGGAAGCCAATACTACAACCTGCACATGCTGACGATGCTTGGCGTCTCTTGCTTGGCAGGGTCATTCCATAAAGCATGGAGCACCTTCCTGAAAGAAGACTGGTTGAGGGGGACTGGCCTTCTGAAGGGGCGCAGCAGAATCCCATCCGACGGCAGCCGCAGTCGCGACTTCACGTCCATGATGAAGAGGCACGACAAACCACCCTTGATCCGAGCAAGCTGCTCCTTCAGAGCCGGAACGGCCGTTTCTTTCACCTCCAGATTCATGAAGGCACGGACCCTGATTTGAGCCCATTCGATGACCTGCTCGAAGTAAAGGTCTGAGTGTTTCTCCAAGACTGAGATAATCACCTGAGGAATGTGAAGCTTGGAGAACCAGGAGACGCGGTTCACACGTGGCGGCTCCGACTTAGGAGCCTCTTCACAGCCGCCAGCCAGGATGGTTTCCTTGTCTGGCTCTTCCGGCTTCTCATCCTTCTCAGAATCCTTCTCTTCTACTTTCGGAGGCTCCGGTGCATCGGGTGGGGCCTTCAGCTCGGATTCCTTCTTGCTCTCAAGAAGCCCTGAGAGGTCGAAGAGGCCCGACTTCAACATCTTCTCGCACACAAGGGCAGTTTCTGCCGGGACAACTTTGTCCTGCGTGACACAGTGATCAAAGATCTCGTCCAAGGAAGCGTGGCCCCGCAGGACCTTGGCCAGGAACATGATGACATCGATCTGATAAGCTGGCAGCAGACCCAACCAGCCCAAGGAAGAACTGGCTGTGCTGCTCTCCATGATGCCACTGCTCCGCACCGCTGAAAAGGATGAGAAGATGGCAGAGAGAACTTGCGATGGGGCCCGGTGAGGCTCGTAGGTAACATCGCCTTTGTCTTCACCAGCAAACTTGTTGATGCAGAAGGTTGCGACCCTTTTCTTGAGCAAGGCAATAGCTACCTCCTGGACCATTCCCTCTTTCGTGAGTTTTGCAGAGACCCTGCCCTGCATGATGTTTGCGCAAATGATCCTTAGATCTAGTTGAGCACTCAATCAAAGGTTTCGAAGCTATCGTCGTGATTGCTGTTCTTGGTCTGTTAAGTTGGTGATGCTGCTGAGTCTCTCCATGCACCATTTCAGCAATGCTATGGAGCCCGGCTCATTCTTCGGGATCCATGTCTTGCTGCTGATGATGTCCAACGCAAATAGGTGGTTGAAGCAATGGCTGGAACCAAACTCATCGTCGAGGGCAACAATCAGACTCTCCACCTCCGGATGGTTCATCCGGTCGTAGATCCGCACCATCATCTTTATCTTGGGGGCCTTGAGGTTCTTGATCTTGGGCCCAAGCCTCGAGTGAGATAAACATGGGTAAGATTTTGATACTGAGAATCTCTTGCAGTGTCACACAGGAATATTACAGAAAAGGCTCCATTTCTCGATGGCCTCTGCATCGCAAGGCTTCCCCCGTTGGCGAAGAAACTCTTGGAGCATGTGAACCGCACGCAGCTGTCGAAAGCCTTGAAGCGTCAACACCTCCTTGTCGTCTTCGACTTCCTCCGCAAGCTCAAACTTGCGGCGTTCACACTGCTCGTCGTCGGGTATCAACACATAGCGCACCTTCGGTACATGTCATCAGAATTCTCAAATGGATGCATCTATTCATGAGAGATACTCCTTCATTTTGTTGCTGCTGAGTGACACGATAGGAGCGAGCCATCATGAAGAAGCTCTTCAATGCCCGGGTCGTCTCCTCGGTCTTTTCGGCCAAGTGCTGCACTTTTGCCTGCCACCAAGCAAACAGAAAGGAAGCTCGCTCAGCATCTTTATGAAGTGCTTCGAGGTCTTGTGTGGGCGGGTCGGTCGCACTCCTCGCGCGAACCGTGATAGGCTCCATGACAGAGTCTCCGGCATGCCAGAACCCATCATTGGTCTTGTACTTCTTCTCTGCTTTCAGCTTCACGGAGCCTGGGGTAGGTTGATGATTCCTTTTCTTCTTCTCCACCGACGAATGACCCCCGAAGATAACAGCAGAATCTAACAGCTTCAGACATGGGTGTGCACCGGCATACACGTAGAGTCTATGCTGCCAGCTGAGGCAGGAGACTGGATGTCAGGCTTTTGAAAAAGCAGGTCAAGTGTGTCAAGCGATGCAAAGTGGAGACATGCAGCAGCTGCACGTCGACATGTCTACCGGAAAGATGATAAACTCTAATAATTGGAAACAGTAGGATGCACCAGTGAATTTCTGCATACACTCTGAATCCGATTCGGCGACGCGAAAGTCTGTTGTGCAACCAGAAAGCCGAGAGCCGGAGGAATGGCTCGGTGGGCAAAGTGCAGAGGGTTGAACCATGCCAATGTCACACAGCACTCGAAGCATCCATACTTCTTCATCGCAGCGGCAAAGTCTTGCTTGTCATACGCAGACACGCCTGCAAAGTCCAGGGGCTCCTTGCCCTGAAGGTCCTGCCACAAGATGCGTCTTCCTCACTACATGATGTAGACAGGTCTGCTGCATTTGGCAATTGCAACCGTGGTCCTTCAACTCCCCAGCCAGGCACGCTTGTGCTTCATTCAAAGCCTCGATAAGCGGGTGACTGCCGATGCCAGCCGCATCAGTCGTTGCCTTCGGCTTTTTCGAGCTTGATGCCGCAGCTTTTTGGCTGGCCAAGGACGGCCGCTTCTTCTGACCCGACATGGCCAGAACGGCTAGCTCAACGCCAGAGAACCTCAAAACTGGGGATCGAGCCGTGGCGTCGGCATCCAGATGTCGACGCTGGAGACCCTGGTTTTCCTGTCAACGCTAGGAAAAGCACCCTGCTCCTGGCGTTGGTCTCTGTGGCGTTGAGCCGGCTCTTCTCTTCTAAGCCTCATTCGGGATGGGCTCAGGCGTCGGCATCCAGATGTCGACGCTGGAACCGAACTTTTGTTTCGCAAATACTCTGGCGTCAGCTGGGCCGTCTCTGGGCTAAGTTTGGGCTCTGAGTAAAAATTTAATTTTTACTCGCGGCTAGCCGACCGTGTTACCGCACCAGCTTCTGAGCACTCTCCGCGACTACGATTGCCACCGATCGATAGGTCCTACGTGCTCTTGTCCCCCCAAAAAACATGGCACGTCCCCGGCTTGTGTGGCAAGACCAGAACCGTAGCAAAGAACAACTTCAAGTCCCCTCAAAAAACTGAAAACTGTTGTGTCATTCAGCAGAACCCCAGCACAACGAACGAAGACTGCAACCTAATTCTCGAATTCGTGTTCTGGCTATGTCCGGAAATCTGATTGTGGAATCTCCCGAAACTGCCTACCCTGTGAAGAGCACTCATAAGACAGTACTCGCAAGATCTGAGTCACATGCACTGAACAGCCGGCGATCCTTGACTCCTGCACACAACACAGCAGACATAGACAGTCAAAGACCTGTGTTTGAAGCCGGTACCAGCCACGTGTTGCGAAGATGCACGTCACTGCCAGCAACTAAGAGTAAGGGGAACTTAAAGCAAATGACCTACGAGGGCACGGAACTTCATCTAGCCAGAGCACAGCCTTCTCATGAACTTATAAACCATCCCAAAACCCTATATGAGGTAGTTGAACAAGAGAGCTTTAGGCCTCAAAATAAATCAACCGGGGCGCCACGGGCCAAGCGGGCAACTGCCAGCCAATGCTTAGCACTTGCCGGACGTTGACACATGCTTATGGTAGATGAATATCAATGGCTATCTATAATGAATTAGTAAGGTTGAATCTCAGCCCACTAAGCCCTATCACACAACAAATTTCGTTTCCAAAGTGGAACAATGCAGCCAGAGCCCAGAGCTACATGCTTGGCTTAACGCACGCAAACAGGGCGGGGACGGCCTGGAAGCACATGCCTTGGCGCCGGGCCTCAGGAGTGCCAGGCAGAGCACATCATGCTTCAAAACTAACAATCATCCCCCTGGCCCGATTGACTCGCGAGATTCCTGACGCCTGACATAACAATTCAAAGTCGTATCCCTTCGAATCCGAACACGTCACACTGCAGATTGGTACAATTTGGTGGACGACACAACCACGGCAGAAGGCTGCAGCTTGCACTTGATTTATGATTAAAACCTTACTCACTGAGCAGACCGGTCTCGTCTGATAATTTGCCCAACAGTGTGGGAGCAAAGCACTGGAAGTTCCTTTCCCTTCTTAGCGTCTCGCATGAATCGTTGTCCGCCAGGACCTGGCAGAGGACATTGTCGGTTCACCAAGGAGGAGCACAGTCGACATACAAATTTCAAAGTCTCGGATCCTGCACAGACAGCAGAGACAGTAAGAAGCATGTCTTATCGGCTGTCGCACACAACGCTTCGATTTCTAGTTAGCATAGCAGCGGCTGCAGCGGTTGAGCAGCATGCGTAAATCCAGCTGGTGCTTCGCACCCTCTTCACCCTCTGAGACTTTTGCCACGAGAAGATAGGTGAATTCTGGAAACAAAAGCTCTTCTGGAAGAGCCGTGTATCCAGTATGCACTTCCAGCCGTTTGACCTTTCCCTTGGCACGGCTTGAAAACATCAGGGGACTGCGGCTAGCACATGCTTCCAGGGCTTGCAAATGCACGGGGTGCTGCTTCGCAAAGCTGTCGGACACGTAGAGCACGAAATGCTGACACTGTGTAGCTCCCCTGAAGAACACCTCACGGGATGTCTCGAGGTCACGAAAACGAGCGCCTTCTAAGCGGGCAAGAAGGCCCTCCGGCGATTCCCAGTGACTCGTTATAGACGACACCAGCACAATGTCTGGCTTGTCTGGAAATGTTGCCGGAATGCAGCCCTTCAAAGATGATTTCTCCGCACCAGGGCCACGCAACAAAATTGGTTTCAATGGCAATGTTGGGACTTTCCTGCCAGGCTGCGGCTCTGAGACAGGACCGTCTGGGATCACAGTCATCCCTCCTCCTTTCGAATCAACGAATGCAGTGGGCTGGCCAGGTTTCCCCTGCACCTGGGCTTGCTGTCTCTGCAAGGCCACCTGCGCTTGCTTCTGAACGGCACTGACAGCTTGCGTCCAATCAATTGCATCATCTACTGGCACTGACGTGGACGATGACGAGGCAGAAGAAGGCTTTCCAGCCAGCAAAGAGGCCATGGCAGTCGGAGTGGATACGGTGTCAGCAATAACAGGCAAAGGCTCGGGATCTTGTTTTGTCTTGCGCCGCTTCGACATTTCCCAAGCGGCATCCGCCATCTGAGACAGCACTTGCTTCTGTGGCTCTGGTCGAGGAAGCTCCGCACCCAGGATCGTCTCCGTGCCAGCACCAGACTGAAGTTGACTGATGGCTGCCATGCAAGATTGTCTGTGCTGCCCAAGTTGGGCTGCCTCTGAATCGTTCTGCAGAGTCCGCGGCCCGCCTAGGCGAGGTTTTTTGGCTTTCACCTGGGCCACGCCAAGTTCAGACAAACTTGCAACTTGAAGGGAACGTCCTGCAGATGCCCGTTCACCGAACCACTGGCCATAGAGTTTCTGAGCTCGCAAGAGATATGGCGTTGAAGGGTGAAGGACGGTGGCCTGGCCAGACGTCCTTCCAGGCGCAGATTTGGATAGGAGTGCCAACGGGTCCAGACGCTGTCGGCGACGGCCGCCCAAGTCCATCAAGACAAGTTTCATAGAGGCCTCGAGAGACCGATCGTGAAGGGTGCGTCTTTGCTTGAGACTCTCCATGGCACCTATGAAGCGCTCGACTGTCTGCGTACCACTCAGCGCCGAGAGATAAAACGCCAGCAGCTGCTTTGCCTCCGCATGGCCGTCGCTTTGTCGAAGGTCGCGAAATGTTTGCAGCCATGCTTGCTGGTGATGGCTTTCGGGGCTGTGGCAGATGTGCTTGACTTGACTAGTCGACTGTTCTGGGCGATTTGCCAGACCTGCACTGCTGGCCCAGTAACGGGCCTGCGCCAATAGCCCAGTTGTGTGTCCACGGCCACTGCCGACAAAAGAACGCCAGGCCTTGCCGCCGTCCACATTCAATCTCTGCGCCAGCGTCATCAAGAATTTCTGGCGATCGGAAAGTGTCATGTCGACGTCGAGGTTGAATGCCACCATGCAGTTTGCCTCCTGCTGGGGCACGAAGGCAACAACCAAACCCAGGATTTGCTACGCAGTAGCAGCAAGAAAAGAAACGTGAGAAAGCACACAACGACCTAAGACCCATGACACGAGTGCGGCAAAGATCAGGACAACCACCGACACGAAAAAAACAGCAGCAGCACAGCCGTAACTTGAACCACATCAGAGCACTTCGGCAGCCACAACAAAATACAGTTCAAGCAGGAGAAGTAACATCAACAGTAACAGCAGGAGAGGCAATATCATAGTGTTGATACCAGCCGGAAGAAGTCCGTCACAAGCAGCGCTCCCACTTATTCTGGTATTACACACAGAACAGCAGGGGCCAATACCGAAGAATCCGAGTAGGTCCCAGAACTCGCAACATCCAAAGCAGCAGCAACAGCCGCCGCCGCCACCAACAACACCTCCTCCCGCTGCTGAGCAACACTAGGAGCAACATCAAGAACAGCATCAGAAAGAGCACTGGGACATCCACCAGCATGAAGAGAACTAGAAGTATCACCATCAATGAGCCAGGAACACACAGAACTACTGATTTTCGGCCTCATAGAACGGGAAATGACTCTTGAAGAAGGCCTCGAAGATGGCATAGAACCTGAGGGTTCGCAATCTTTGCACTGCCTGCTTTCTAGATCTGATTGTTTATGTCGGTAATCAAGATCGAAATAGGAAACGGATGACTTCAATCAAGAAACTCGCGAGCAATGGCGACGGGCTTGTTTCTCTCAGCACTCTGTGGAGCAGGCCACCTCATTGACACTGCTTCACAGTCTTTGGAATTGTGGCGCAGAATCATCAGCCTGTCTTTTATGGCTCTCAAGACAGTGTGGGTGAGCGTGTTGCGGGCATCCGGGAGCCAAATGGCTCCATCGTATAGAAAATGTCGCATATCTTGCAAAGCTTTCGCTGCAGCAGGCGCTTGCAGCGCATAGTCTGCGTTGTCCTGGTCACAGACTCGCAAGAATGGAGAGCCCAGCAACATCGCGTCAGCCGTAACGGCGGCTGAAACCACCGTGATGTATCCGAGGTCGCCGGAGAAGTCATACAACACACTCTTTGCCTTCTCTCGATCATCAGCTTCCCAGGGGCCAAGACCGGAAGCAATGTCTTGCAACATTTCCAACACAATCATCAGCAGCTTGAAAAGCCGGAACAGGGGCTTTAGCCGGCTATCGAA